TCAATGTCTATAGTCTTCCTTTGCATTTATGAATGTAGAGTGATGCCTCAGATACGGACAGCAGCTCCTAGCAATGAGTAGAGGGAAGCAATACGCAGAAATGTTAGAGAATGTTATAGGTATACACTGCCAGAGGACTGAATGTATTTTCTGATCATTAGTTGTTTTGCATTTCAATAGAGAAGATTCACATCTTGTTTGCTGTTACAGCCACTATCTACTGCGTGACAGTATCCAGTTGGAATCATTACTGAAGTCTGGAAAAGGGAAAAGAATGTATGGGATGGAACAAGGAAAGCCTAGTGGAAAAGTGAGACCATAGCCAGGTGCAGAGGGATCAGGGAGATGCTCATAATTTAGTAGAAGGCAATAATGCAGAGTGGTGAGAATGAGTATGTTGTTGTTGTTGTCAAGTGTTGTCGAGTCGCAGGTGACTCATAGTGACCCTATGAAGGAGAGTCCTCGACGTTGAGAATGAGCATAGTGTTCTCAAAACCATGAAGGCACTAGGTTCATGAATGAATGAGAGCCATTGGAGAGTGTTTGAAGAAAGAAGAAACTAAAGCTTTGCCTATAAAGAGAGTGTCTTATAAGGTTCGTGATAAGTGTTGCTATTCGGTGGCATCCAGTCACGGGCAACTCTCAGTGATGCGGTGAACAGCAGATCTGAACCTTGCACTATCCTGCACCATGCTCACGATGTCTGATATGCTCCAGCCCATTATTATACTCATTGTGTTGGTCTATCTTGTTGTGAGTCTTCTTTTCTTTCTCTGATCTTCCACCTTTTCCAGCATGATGTCCTTTTTTTCCGAGTACTGGCCCCTCTTATGGATGTGTTCAAAGTATGTGAGCCAATGTTTCACCATCCTTTCCTCTAAGGAACACCCTCGTACTTCCTCCAAGACAGACATGCTTACTCTTTTGGCAATCCAAGGGGTGTTCAGTTCTCTCTCTACCACCGCAATTCAAAGGCCACTATTATTCTCTCATTCTTATTCACTGTCCAACTTTCACATGCATGGGAAGTCATTGAAAATAGCATGGCTTGGATCAGGTACACCTCAGTCTTTAAACTGACGTCCTTGCTCTTTTGCACTTTGGAGAGGTCTTTGATAGCGTATTTTCCCCAATGCAACACGTCTTTTGATTTCTTGAGTGTATTTCCCTTGTTGTCAATTGTGAATCCAAGTAAAATGAAATAATTGACAACTTAAATCTTTTTCCCATTTCTCATGATGTTGCCCATTGGTCCAGTGGTGAAGATTTCTGTTTTTCTAATGTTAAGATGTAATTCATTTTTATCTTATCCAGAATGTGCTTCAATTTTTCTTCACTTCCAAATGGCATCTATATTTGTTCTCATTACTCCTAAAAAAATTACTCCTCAAAAAATCATTATTCAGTAATTAGTATCACATGCAAGTAAAATCTTGCTGAAGATTATTCCAAAATGACTGGAACAGTACATTGATGTGAAACTGCCAGAAATTCAAGTTGGATCCAGAAGAGGTTTGGTACAAGAGATAAAGCTGGTCAGTCATGTCAGATAGAGCTTGACTAAAAGCAAAGAATATCAGAAAGATGTTTACCTCTGTTTTATTGACTATGCAAGAGTGGTTAACTGGGAGGATCATAACAAAATACAAGTAACACTGAGAAATACGGGAATCCCAGAACACTTAATTATACTCATGTGAAACTTATACATAGACCAAGAAGCTATTATCTGAACAGCAAAAGAGACCACTGCGTGGTTTAAAATCAAGAAAGGGGTGCATCAGAATTGTATCCTTTCTCCATAGCTATTCAATCAGTTATGCTAAACAAAACATTTGAGAAGCTAGACTATCTGAAGAAGAATGGGGCATCAGATTTGGAGGGAGTCTCATCAACAACCTGCATTAATCAGATGACACAACTCATAGTGAAGAGTTGTTGTTAGGCACTGTCCAATCAATTCTGACTCAGAGCGGACCTGTTTAAACACGAAACGCTGGCTGATCTGGTCCCATACTCACAATCGTGCTCTGAGCCCATACAGATGCTCTGTCAATACATCCTTGTACTGGTTTGTTTCTTTTGCTGACCTTTTACATTACCAGCCACATTGTTTTTCTTTAGGCACCATTCCTATCTGAATAACATATCCAATATATAGAAGACAAAGTCTCACTATACTGATTTCTAAGGAGTATTCTGGCTATATACATACACACACATGTATAAGGCTCCAGGAATAGATGGTGTACCAATTGACATATTTCAGTTAACAGATGCTGCCCTGGATGTGCTCACCAAGTTGTGCCAAGAAATC